TTCCACACAGCCATATAACCCAGAATATCAAGGTAGAAAACCCCACAATATCTGCTTTGAACTGAGTTATCTGAGTCCACATTACTATATATTCCAGTTCAAAGCAGATAATGTGGGAAGATCATGTTATTCAGCTGTGTGGATGAGGCCGTGGAGTTCAAAGGAGGGAACCAGACAGTGGTTCCTCCAGATCTTTAAAATTTCAGCCCAGGACACCTGGGAAATATTCAAGGATTCTGGGAGCTGAAGTCCAAAATACCTGAAAGATGATAGAGAGAATGAATTATCTCCAAGGGAGAATCTGAAGTACCTCATTGAACTGTATATCCCACGAGACCTTAAAATAGAGCTATTGGTGGCTATGATTGTATAGTCAGATACACCTCCTAAATAACTGCTTACTCCTGCCTCTAACCAGGACAAGTGTAATTTGGACACCGCATTTATGAACCACCTTCAATCCACCTGCATCTAAGCAGTAGAATGAATTCAGTCTGACACCATTTTAATTGTCATGGTTTTGTGATATGGAATCAAGGGGATTTGTATCTTGGTAAGGCTCCAGCATTCTTTGGCAAAGAAGGCTAAAGGCCTTGTAAAAGTACAACAACTACGATTTCACAGCACTGAGCCATGGAAGTTAAAGTGGTGTCAAACTGCATTCATTCTACAGTGTAGATCAGGCATCTTCAAATTGTGACCCTCCAGCTGTTTGGGCTTCCAACTCCCAAAATTCCTGACTACTGAATAGGCTCACTGGGGCTTCTGGGAGTTGGAGGGCCGAACAGCTGGAGGGCCACAGTTTGAGGTTGCCTGGTGTACATACACATGAAGTACCCCTTCCCCTGTTTGAATATTAAAGAAAATTGGAAGGACCTTTGGAGCTGGGTCCACAGTCTGGCTAATGCCGAGTAAAGGATTGGCCTTTAAAAATACATGGATTAAAATGCAAACAGAAGATGGACCTTTTTTTGAGGCCTCTTTCTCTGGCCCAGCACCTCTTCCTCAAGCATTCGTTTCACTTTCGGAAGCTGGAGACCTCAAGACAAGCCTCCATTTCGCCATTGGCGGGGAAGTTAAGACACAAACCCAGATTTAGGAAGAGGCGGGGAATATATCTAGCTGTCTTTCTCCATCAGCCGGGTCATTCCGTTGCCAAAAAAGGAACCAAATTGACACAATGGACAAGACTTTAGACTTTGTGGCTCCTCCCCTTCAGGGCAGTTTCTGCAAAAGATGCTGAGCTCGGCAAGGGAGAGGCAGAGTCTGCGATTGAGCCCCCCCCCCCCCCCATCTCAAGTCAATCCAAGTGGGTGTGTCTACACTGCACAATGAAAGCAATCTGATGCCATTTTAACTTCCCAGGCTTCATCCAGTGGAATCTTAGGATGTGATGGCATTCTCTGCATCCTGGTTTGAGACCAGTGTGATGGCTCAATGCTATGTTATCCTGGGATATGTAGTTTTACAAGGTCTTTAGCCTTCTCTCCAAAGAGTGCTGGAGCCTCACCAAATTACAAATCCCAGAATTTGAAAGCACTGAGCTATGGCTGTGAAAGTGGTGTCAAACTGCATTCATTCTATCCTAAGTTCCAGGCTTCTAGATTTACCCTGCGGGAAGATAACTATAGCGTCAAATTAATTTGTAATGCAGTTAGTGAGGGAAACTTCCATCGGACAATGGCTGCTCCCTCGGTTAGATGCTCACGGGTGCCTAGGGATGGACTTTAACTGCCATGGCCCTGTACTATGAAATCATGGGAGTTATAGTTTTACAAGGTCTTTAACCTTCTCTGCCAAAAAGAGCTGGTGCCTCACCAAACTACAGATCCCAGGATGCCAGTTAAGGTTGTGTTATTCTCCTGCGGAGATGCATCCAAAGAGAGAGTGTGTGTGTTGATCCACTCCCACCAAATTACAATTCCCCAAAGAAGTAGTAAAGCCTGGAAGAGTTCCTTCTTTGGACAATTTTTTGGAATTAAACCGATGTCATCCTCAATCTCTCTCATTTTTCTCCACAACTTACCAAACTAGAAACTCCAGGATGCCAACATATGGAACTCTGATAACACAGTCCAAGTATAACAACAACAAAATGGTGTCTTGGTTTTTAGGCCATATTCCAGAAGCATTCTCTCCTGATGTTTCGCCTGCATCTATGGCAGGAATCCTCAGAGGTTTTGAGATCTATTAGAAACTAGGAAAATTGGGTGTATATATCTGTGGAAAGTCCAGGGTGGGAGAAAGAACTCTTGTCTGTTGGAAATAGGTGGCCAATTGAAACATTCACACTTACCTCAAAGAGACAAGAGTACTTTCTCCCACCCTGGACATTCCACAGATGTATAAACCGCATTTTCCCAGTTTCCAACAGACCTCACACCCTCTGAGGATGCCTGCCATAGATGCAGGTGAAACATCAGGAGAGAATGCTTCTAGAACATGGCCATACAGCCCGAAAAACCTACAACAACCCTGCCTGTATATAGCATATTTTCTGTATCTCAAAAACTAGAACTGATAGGAGAAAACTAGTGCAATGTTAGCCCTATTTCTAGTTTCAAATATATCCAGAAACAGGGCTAACATTTAAGGCACCAAATTTTTATTTATTTATTTCGTGTCAAAAGTACTGCATAAAATAAGCTTTAAAATGATAAAATAAAGGAATCACAAGCAGCTAAATAGTTTTAGACCAAAAACAGGCAACAGCAACTGCATTGTCTGTAGCTTTAAACAGTTCTTCCACTGTGCATGAGGCAAGGTATTACGCGCAAGCATACAAGTTGATTGTTCTGCTTCAAAATCGCACAAGGTGGAGGATTCTTCTAGGTTGTGCCATTTTGACACTGAGTGTCAAACCAAAATGTTTGTTGGCCAGTGGTATCAAACTGTTGTAACCATGCAGTGTGGAAAATTACAGAGTGAGCAGGCAGTGCCTTTTTTGCAATGGCTTTGCAAGACCACAAGATTTAAACACAGCAGGAGAGGAATCGAGGGAAGAATCTGACCTTTGCAGAAATTTTGCAATAGACCTGGGGGAGGAGAAAGATCTGTGTCTAAATACAGTAAATAGCACCATGAACTGTGCTTTCTGTGCCTCTTTGGCCCACTGTAGGGAAATTCTTGGCTTAAAATCCTCCTGCAAGCTGAGACCGCGAATAGGAAGTCAACTCCCACAACAGGCGCTAGACACTAGCATCCGCTTCCCTCCACCCAGATGCCCCTTTGCCAAGCCGATTAGTGCTTTCTCTCAGGGAGCATTTACACTAGGCATGGGCAAACTGTGGCCCTCCAGGTGTTTTGGACTCCAACTCCCACAATTCCTTACAGCTTCAGGTGCTTTCCTTTTCCTTAAATGGCTGAGGGGGGAATGGAAAGGGCCTAAGGTTGTTAGGAATTGTGGGAGTTGGAGTCTAAACCACCTGGAGGGCCACAGTTTGCCCATGCTTGATCTACACTGTAGAATTAATGAAGTGTGACACTTGAGCTGCCATGGCTCAATGCTAGAGAATCCTAGGAGTTGCAGTTTATTGAGGCACCAGCGTTCTTTGGCAGAAAAAGCAAAAAGACTTTGTAAAGCATGGCTCCTGATTCTATAGCAAGCCTGGGCCCCCGGTGGTGCAGTGGGTTAAACCCCTGTGCCGGCAAGACTGAAGATTGACAAGTCGCAGGTTTGAATCCAGGGAGAGCGTGGATGAGCTCCCTCTAACACCTCCAGCTCCCCATGCGAGGACAGGAGAGAAGCCTCCCACAAGGATGATAAAACATCAAAACATCCGGGCGTCCCCTGGGCAACGTTTTGCCAACCTAGCAGTTCGGAAATATGCAAATGTGAGTAGATCAATAGGTACTGCTCCAGTGGGAAGGTAACAGCACTCCATGCAGTCACATGTCCTTGGAGGTGTCTACGGACAACGCCGGCTCTTTGGCGATGAGTGCCAACCTCCAGAGTTGGATATGAGTGGACTTAATATCAGGGGAAAACCTTTACCTTTATTAGACTCTGTATTGCCTAACCCTGATATATAATCCTAGAGCTCCCCAAGAGCCATCCAGTCCAACCCCCTGCCATGCAAGAAGGCACAATCAAAGCATCCTCAATAGACAGCTTCTACTGAAAAGCCTCCACCACACTCCCGAGGCAGCCAATGCCACTCTCCAACAGTTCTTACTCTCAGGAAATTCTTCCTAATATTTTCAGTGGAATCTCCTTCTCTGCCATTTGAACCCATTACTCCCTTGTGCTCTGGTCTCTAGAGCAGCAGAAAGTCAGTTTTCCTCCTCTTCCTCCTCAATGGGACACTCTTTTAAATCTCCTGTTCCCTCTCTACCTTCTCTTCTCCCAGCTAAACATCCCCCAGGAGAAAAGGAGGAAGGAAAAAGAGAAGGAAGGAAGATTGGAAGGGAATGGAAAGGAGGGAGAGAGGGAGGAAAGAGAGAAGGAAGGAAAAACAAACGGGAAAAAGGGAAGGAAGAAAGAAAGAAAGAAAGAAAGAAAGAAGGAAAGAAAGAAAGAAAGAAAGGGAGAGAGGGAAGGGAGGAACGGAGAAAGGGTGGAAGAAAGGATGGAAGGAAGAAGAAAGCGGGAAGTAAGGAAAGAAGGGAAGGAGAAAGGAAAGAGGGAAGGAAGGAAGGGCAGGATGGTGAGAGGGTGGGGGGCTGAGAAAAGAGCCCAAGGGGCTGCATCTGGCCTCGAGGCCTGGGTTTGCCCATATCTGTTCTACAGTATTAAGCCATGGCAGGAAAGTAGTGTCAATGTGCATTAATCCTACAGTGTAGAACTGGCTCTTGGAAGGAGAGTGGGCAATGAGGAGAAGACCAAAGTTAAAAAGGCCAGGGTTAAAATGCAGCATTACATATAGAGGGTGGAGCGAGTAAGAAATTGTTGCAAGAAAGTCCTATCTACACTGACCACATAATGCAGTTTCAAACTGAATTAGGGCCAAAGTGTTAAGGGGACAAACACCAGGTTTGCTTTGTTGCCAAGTCCTCCTTACCTGAAGCCATGCTGTTCCTGGCCAAAGGGCGAGAGATTTCCGCTGAGCTTCACAGCCAAAGAGGAAGGGGAGGGGAGATTGACAGCAACACTTTGAGACCCGAGGGAGGGTTGTCACTGGAGCGAAGCAGCGGGAGGCTTTTGCAAGGAGAGAGCCCCTTGTTCCTGGGCAAGCCTCCTTTGTCAAACCCTGGCGCGCAGGTAGGGCCCTTGGGGGCGGAAGGCAGTCCTTCGCCTCTGGGCTCCAAGAAGAGCGCCCCCTGGCGGAAATAGTTTCCAAGTCCGCTTTAGGGGTCCACAGACAAGTGGCTGACCTCAGGAAAATCGGGGGAGTGAGACGGCTCTGCAGCCCTGCTTCTCTGTCAGGTATTGAGTGCATCTACTGTAGAATTAATTCAGTTTGACACCATTTGAACAGCCATGGCTCAATGTTTTGGAATCCTAGTGAGGCACCAACACTCTTGGACAGAGAAGGCTCATCACACTACAACTCCAATGACTCCATAGCATTGAGCCATGGCAGTTAAAGTGGTGTCAAATGGCATTAATTCTGCAGTATAGGTGTATCCTCAGTCACCAAATATCATCCGGCTTTGGGGAAAATGACAACTTCTGGGAAGCCAGAGTCAACATGGAACTCATATTCCACTACTATTACTACTATTAATTATTATTATTATTATTATGATCGGCACATTGGTACAGTGCCTAAAGACCTTGGCCATACTTAAAAACATTGATTGGCACACTGGATGCAGTGCCTAAGGACATTGGTCTGCATTTAAAAACATTGATCGGCACACTGGGTACAATGCCTAAAGACACTGGCCTGCACTTAAAAACAATGATCAGCACACTGGGTACAGTGCCTAAAGACATTGGCCTGCACTTAAAAAGTGATCGGCACACTGGGTACAGTGCCTAAAGACCTTGGCCTGCACTTAAAAACAGTGATCAGCACACTGGGTACAGTGCCTAAAGACTTAAAAACCGTGATCGGCACACTGGGCTTGGCTTGCACTTAAAAACAATTGGCACTGACAAAATTACCATCTGTCAGCTGCAAAAGGCCACCCTACTCGGATCTGCATGCATTATTCACAGTCCTATACACATGTGAAGTGTCCAAAGTGTGATCCGATAGAACAGCCAGCATAGTGATCTTGTTTGCTGTGTACTAATCTTGTTATGTATCAAATAGTAGTAGTAGTAGTAGTAGTAATAATAATAATATCAGCCTCTACTGCTCTACCATGCAGTGTTCATTTGTAAAGAGAGTCTGTAGCAACTTTGAGACTCAGACTCCAGGAAGTTCTTATTCTGTCTTGTGAATATTTCATGGTTGTTTCCCTAGCTCAGTGTGTAGTCCCACTAGCAATCACTGGACTGCATCTTCCATTAGCCTTCGTTGCTGGCTATGCTGCCTTGGGCTGATGGGATTTGCAGCTAAGCAACATCTGAAAGGGGCCACCATTACATAGAACATACGGTAACTTACGAAGATGCATGGCTCCCTTTCATTTTGAATTAAACTGAGATTCAACCACATGGTTACAAACTTGAGCCTAGTTGCAGACAGAATGCCATTGAAATCAATTTATTACTTCCAAGTAGAGTAGAACTATTGAATAAATGAAATTGACATAAATGTTGACTTCAACCACTTTGTTGCTGTGAGTTTTCCAGGCTATATGGCCATGTTCCAGAAGCATTCTCTCCAGAAGGAGAGAATACTTCTGGAACATGGCTATACAGCCTGAAAACTCACAGCCACCCAGGGATTCTGGCCATGAAAACCTTCGACAACACATTCAACCACTTCATTTGGGTCTAGTGTGGGAGTAACAGGGGCCCCTGGTGGCATAGTGGGTTAAACTGCTGAGCTGCTGAACTTGCTGACTGAAAGGTCGGCAGTTCGAATCCCGGAGGCAGGGTGAGCTCCCACTGTTAGCCCCAGCTTCTGCCAGACTAGCAGTTTGAAAACATGCAAATGTGAGTAGATCAGTAGGTACTCCTTCTGTGGGAAGGTAACAGCACTCCATGCAGTCATGCTGGCCACATGACCTTGGAGGTGTCTACAGACAATGCCAGCTCTTCGGCTTAGAAATGGAGATGAGCACCGCCTCCCAGAGTCAGACACGACTAGACTTAATGTTAAGGGAAACCTTTACCTTTACTTACTGGGATTAACACCAGGATTTGGTTCATAGCCTTGCAGTCATTGCAAATGCTCATTAAATAAAAGACTCATAAAATCTATATTCTTATCCTATCCTTTTTTTTTATTACTCGAACAAAATCTATGTTGTGCATGCAAAAGTCAATATCAAAGTTCAGGTATAATAATATGTAGAGGGCAAGTCCACTGTATCATGGGACAATAGTTAATCACTAATAGTTAATAGCTAATAATAATAACAGTAACTTTATTTATAACCCACCCTATCTCCCCGAGGGGACTCAGGTTGGCTTCCAGCAAAGGATGAGAAACATTCTGTGCCATAAAACAATAAAAGATGAACAAATAGCCCCCTGAATAAAACATCTATAACAAATTATAACAACCACTCACAAAGTTTAAATAATTAAATAAAACATGTAAATCTATTAAACCTACAACATAACAAAACTAATTAGTTTAAAAGCAATTAAAAACAGTTAAAATAACCATTGTTATACAAATTATCCTTTTAAATGATCGAACTTTCAATCATGATTCCCTGGAAAGGAGACCAGGTAGTGAAACCACATATCTAATTGTTATATTAAAATGTCATAACTCAACACATAGTTTCTTAGGACATACTTGGCATTCCTGGGTGCTCTGTTAAGTAATCATTGGTCTTACTTGTAGGGAGACAAAGCTGATAGCTTTAATGCGCAATTCGTATTTTTCCATGTTCTAGGAATACTTGATCCGTGCCTATTCTTTTTCTCTTTTTTCTTGTCTCACATGTAAAGAATGTAAATTATTCTAGAGCCCTACTTAAAGCTGTGCATACCACAGAGGAATAATTAGCATCTTAATAATAGCAAAGAATATACAAATGGCAATTTGGGGTTTAAGATTTAAGCTCCAACCAAATATAGTGTAAATATTAACAACACTGGGTTAAATTATGGAATGTGCTACCATAAAATGGTGTAACTTTGAACTTAAGACCATTTTAAAAAAATAGGAGGATTGGATAGTTAATGGGGTCTTGACAGTGGCTGTGTTGCAATGGCTGATACATAGCTTACAGACTGAGGCACACTCTCCTCCTGAACTGTCTGGTATTATCTGATATTCTTCTCCCAAACCAGCACCTTAAATTTAATCTAAGCTGTATAGGCTATACAAAATGGATGTCCTGTGCTTTGGCAGTCTGACACCTATAAGCACCTGCATTTTGAACCATTTGAAATGTGAGAACAAAAGTTTAATGGGCTTCTGGCCAGTCCATGTTCTGACTGCCTGGCCCATTATAAGCATTCTTGTTTCTGCATTATTTACCACTAAATTCTAACAGAGAGGCAGCCCTGGGCAGAATACCCTAACCTACCATGGATGTAATCAGAACAGACTGATAAAACTGGCAAGGCAGCCAAAGCCGGTAAAAGGAACTCCTGGTAAGTGGTACAATCTATATGTTCTTTGTCAATAGTGTTATGAAGCACTGTTTGTGCCCTTCTAGCCAGATCAGGACAATATGATCCCATTGCCGATGCTGGTTCAGCACCTCATCAGGAGTTTCAATCTTACTTCACAATCCAAGGGCTCTTCCACGCAGGCACAGAACCCGGAATATCAAGGCAGACAATCCCCCAATATCTGCTTTGAACTGGGTTATCTGAGTCCATACTGCCATATATAGTGCAAAGCAAAAAAAAAAAGTGGGATTTTATTCAGCGGTGTGGAAGGGGCCCAAATTTCACAGGGATGAGTTATTTACCTCCTTTGATACAAAAGAGTTGAATAACCATGTATCTTCATAATTTTAAAGAATTCTAACATCTAAATTTCACATTCTAACAACATTTTGTGTTCTTTCTACTTAATATTAGTGGAATTATTAACCTGCATTCTCTAGAAATTATGCATTTTAAATAACTTGCATTTGTGAATTTTGATCTAATTTGTTTATATAATCAAAAGTTTAGTATATAACTGTGTTGTGTACTTTTCTTTCCAGCGGATTAATGCAATACAATGCAAGAGAGTCAGCATGGTATAGTCATTTGAGTGATTGATTATGGAAGAACAGAGTTCAAACCCTTCCTTGGCACATGAAATTCACTTGGTGACCTTCAGCAAGTCACATTCTGTCAGTCTCAGAGGACGGCAATGTCAAACCTCCTCTGAACAAATCCTGCCAAGGAAATGCTATAATGGGGTCACTTTAGGCTCTCCTTAAGGCTGAAAAGGTAAGATCAAGATGAATGTAAATAGAAGTAAATAGATTCAGAAGTGAATAATTGTTGTTGTCACGTGCCTTCAAGTTGTTTCTGACTTATGGCAACCCTAAGATCAATCTGTCATGGAGTTTTCTTGGTATCATTTGTTCAGAGGAGCCTTTGCTTTGGGGCTGAGAGAATGAGACTTGCTCAGGACCACACATGGCCTGGCACTGATTTATTTATTGTATCAGATTTATTGTATCAGAAGCAAACTAAGGGTACAGTTGTAACATTAAAAAAAAATAAAGGGTTTAAAAACTTGGCATTATACAAAATGTCCTTTGACAAGAAGCTGGCCACTTGGAGTGCCTCTGGTGTGCATGTGGCAGGGCTCTGGCTGCATTGTAATAGGTGGTCTGTGGTTTGCTCTTCTCCACACTCGCATGTCGTGGGCACTACTTTGTGGCCCATTTCTTAAGGTTGGCCCTGCATCTCGTGGTGCCAGAGCGCAGTCTGTTCAGTACCATCCAAGCACTGATTTCAACTCTGGTCTCCAGAGTCCAACAGTCAACCCAATAAACCATGCCAACTCTTTCCATTTTTAACAATATCTCATCATCATACTGTGGTAATGTTATCAGTGATGGAATAAAATAATGTACTTCATGCTACAGTTAACTCAGTAATATGCACTTAGGAATTTGGCTTTGGAAACATTTTTATACTTCTGAGAGCTTATTTCACCGTAATGCAACTTATGTTTTAAATTGTATTTTGAACTATACATGTCATTTTAAGAGGGTGTTGTGTTTCAATATGCAAGCAGTTGGAAAG